GAGGGCTGGGAGCTCCGGTAGGAGACTGGAGGCCGCTTTCTTTCAGGGCTCCAGGGTTCGTTCGTTAGCCAGCGACTCTACAAAAAGCGTGTGGGCGCGGCGTGCCGCCGCAGGAATGGGGCGAGCATGGCTCTTGCCGACTCCCAAGGTCAAAAGCCCTTGAACTCCACTCCTTGAGCCTGTGGGTGTGCGTATCAGGGCCGGAGGCCCAAAGGGCATTTGGGTGCAAGAGCGGTGGGTGGAGCATCTTCCCCCGCCACGGCGCAGCTCTTTTGTAACTCGTTCTCTTCGGAAACGCTACTCGGCCTTCTCTGGCCGACTCTTCCCACAATACATACCCCAGGATAAAGAAAACGAGAACCCAGGGCCTGAAACACTGTCCCAAAGAGGGAAGGAGCAACCTCTAGTGACCCAAGTCCTCTCCGGGCAGGGACTTTGGCGGGTCCCACCCACCGCCCCACTGGGCTGGGGCCAAAACCCGGAGACCGGATTTCAAGCCAATCCAGAAGTGACGGCGGCGCCCGCAGCTAGTCAGGGCATGCTCAGTGGGCAGAGCAGATTTTCGGGCTTGGAAGTAGGAAGCTTTTGCACCATACACCCACATTCCAGCTCAAATTACCTCTCCTAGACTCGGGACCCATTGGTCCCAGGTCACAAATCTCACACCCCCAAATGTTCGCCCATTGGCTACCGCCAAGGTTTTATCAGTTAAGGCTGTTTCATTGGCTAAAAAGTAGCCTCCGCTCGTGATTGGTTATTTATAGAGATTGAGTCGAGAGGCGGAGGCACAGCTGTTCTTTCTCTGCTGCTCCCCCACCCCCTTCCTCCCACTTCTCCAACCTAGTCGTTTTGAAGCTAAGAGTGCAAAAATAAGAGGAATTTAGGCGGAGAGCTCCAAGCTAAATATAGTCCTTTGTTGGTGTTTTTGAGATAGTCTAGCTTCTCGGTGCCCAGTCACGACTGTCCCTTAAAGGGAGCAAAAAGAGATGGTTACAGTTCTTGGTCCACAAACAGGAAAGTTGTTTTTTTGTTTTTCTTTTTTCTTTTGCTTTTTTCAGAAGGGATGGGGTGGCTAAGATGGGGAAATGGGCCACTTTGAATTCTTTCCACCCGGGGGGTGGGGTGGGGTGGGGTGAGGGAATGCCCAGGCTTGTCCTTAGAAAACGTCTTCGCTTGGCTCGGCTCTCACGGGAGGTGCGAGGGAGATGCCGCGACTTGCTCAGTCTTCCACCTTCCTCGCGGAGGAGAGATGTCAAGACCTGTCAGAAGACTTAGCGAAGTTAGCGTGAGCCCCAAGGTGAAAGGGGTGGGAAGGAACCGAGCTGCGTCAACTCTGGCTCCGTGTCCTGCCTTTTTTTTCGGGTGCCACTTCCCACTGGTTTCACCGTTCGCATGCAGAGATGAGCCAGGCGGTGTGCTGTGTGCCAACACTTGGTTTCAGTTCCTGAGCCCTGCCGTGACTCGCGGCCACATTTGCGAGTTAACCTTCTCTGAACCCTTGGCTTTAGCTCATACTGTGCGTATCTGCAGCCTGAAGTCCTTAACCACTGGATCAGCAGCCTACGCCTTGGAAGGGGTGGGTGGTGCCCACCCCTGCGCCTGGCCCCGCTATTTAGTGGAGATAGGTGTTGAACCTTGTTGATCAGAGTGCTTGTATATAATTATGATTATATAATTCTCCAGATAAACCCCTCGGAGGCAAATTCACCTAATACAGCAGGAGAGAACCTCACAACATTTAACCAGTGTTTGATGTCTGCCAAGCCTTTTTACATGTGGTATCTTATTTACTCATAATAATTATTTTATCTGATTGAAGATGAGGAAACTGAGGCCCTAAGATGTTCAGTAACTTGCTTGAGATTTCACAGCTAGTGTGTGGCCAAGCTAGGGTCCCAACGCAGGTGTTTGGCTGCTTTTAACCAATTGGTCATACTACCTTTTCACAAGAAAGTTCTTAGTTTTTACTCTAGTTAGATCTTGAGGTAGTATAATCAGACTGGCTTTTAAATCCAAGCAAAGGGGACCTCTGTCCACTGCCACCTTCTGCTCTCCTCTGGCAGCGCCCTTTGTCACCAGTTAGAGACCGAACCCTCTTCTAGTCTGTGCTTCAGGTCTTCAGAATTCTGGAATCCCATGTCCAAACAGTTCCAAACCCTTTGCCAGGAACTACCTGGGCCTCTGAACTCACCTTTGTGTCCAAGAAATGGGTCTTCGTTGGAAGGGGGACAGTGGTTGGACTTGGGGGCTGAGATGTTCCCTTCCAGGCACTTTGGGCCCTTCCGTAGTGTGGGAAGGGGGCTTGGTTGGAGTTAGTTCTCCCTTCCCTGTCACCTTCCAGCCTGACCCTTGGAGGAATCTAAGAATTCATAATTCACACCTTGCCATCCAGGTCCTTGTGAAGAGGTGTTGGTCAAGATACGAGGATAGATCATATTGTGTTTAACAATTTGTTATCTTGATTTATAACTTAAATACGTAGATCAATGCTATGTGGGCCTCTATTTGTCCTCTTGCCCACAAGTGTTAGGTGCGGTTCTGAGTAGATACAGTAGAAAATGCTTTGTCCTTATAGGCCTGGTGTATAGTCTCAAGTGTTGGATATCAATTATTATCTTGAGACCTTGGGCAAGTCCCTTAAGCTCCCCTGACCTTAGTTTCCCTAGCTATAAAATGGTGATAAATTTTGCCCTACCCATCTAGCTGTACAGGAACCTTGGAGAGAATCCAGTGACCAAACCCCTCATTTTATATCAGAGAGAACTGAGCAGAATTAGAACCCTGGTGTCCTGACTGCCCTTTTCATGGTGCCAGCCTGTCCTCAGGGATAATAATTAATAGATAATGGATGAAAACATGCTTTTAAAGCTGCAGCACCCCATAAACGCATGACAATTGCAACCTAGACTCAGGGCCCTGATAACCCCATCTAGAAAAGACTGTCCTCAGAATTGTGGGTAGCCATGTAGATGGGTATTATTGAATTTTGGTGGCCTCTCCAGCACTGGAAAGATGCCACAGTTTGAATACTTTCTATTAGGGATTCTTAACTAGTATTTTTTTTTTTTTTTTTTTTTTACATTCAGATGACTTCTACAGAAAGATTTACACTGGGGCTTTGGGATTCAAAATGAAGTAATAAAATTGCTGATGCAGAAATTTTTAAGGTTGGCCACTTCCTCTTATGAAATCTGTTAGGAGTCTTTATTTACCTTACTTATAAGTCATTATATATCCTGAACCATAATTATTTACATGTCTATCTTATTACCCAACATCATGTGAATTCTTTGTGGGCAGGGTTCTATCTGGTTTATCTTTGGAGCTACCTCTGTCCCTCATAATATCTAGTGCAGTGCCTATATAGGAAACTCTCAGTAAATACTTTTTGACTATATGAGTGACATTTTCTTCCCTTGCCAAACTTTCTGGTGAGAGAGTGTATTAATTCTCGGTGAGACATAACATTTCTTTGATCCTTAGAAAAATATATACTAATGTTTCAGGTTCCCTGAGTGAAAAGATGCTGGGTGATCAAAGTGTACCCTTATCTGGATGGAAACACTAAGTCAGTGCAACCTTGGGGAAAGATACCAAAGCATCCAATGGATAAACCCTTTTTCTAAATAAGACAACATTTGCAGGTGATATGAAAAGGCATTTCTCAAAAACAATAAAAAATAAAAGCTACTGTGTAAGAACTGCCTAATTTTGAGTATTGAATATTACATAAATGAGGGTCTCGTTCCTGGCCTTTGCTCACACAGTGGGAGACTGCTAGGTTTTTTGACACAAGTGTTGAACCTTCAAAGAATTAGCAGGTTTGTTAGAACATGAATCTTTAAAATCCTCAAGAAGATAAGTACCCACCTGTCGTCTTCATTTATACAAAGTAATTAGGGTTTTTTTTTTTATCATGTTTGTAGTTTTAGCTGGTGTCACCTATAAGAAAACGAATAATTCTGAACAAATACTTCTAATTTTGAAAACACCAAGGATAAATTGACAGTGAGCGTGTGTTATTATTTTAAAGAGAAGTGTAAGTTTACGTAAGACTGTGCCTTGTAGAGTTCTCAGTAATATTTGTTAAGTACCTGACTATGTTATAACCAGATATCTAGTAGTAGCCTGAGGATATTTTATTTTATTTTTATTTTTTTATTTATTAGCAGTCTTTTAAAAATAATCTACAATAATGCTTCTAAAAGTATTTTATAAGTCAACCAAACCATCATCATTTCATATAACATTTTGGGCAGCCAACTTGTAAGAATAATGACCTGTGTTACTTGTAAGAACAATGACTTGTGTTACTTGTAATGAGATTGTGTATCTTTATATCTTTAAAATGTCCTAAAATCCTAGCATATACTAAAGAGAAACAAAGGTATACCTAGTTTTTATAATTTCAGTGTCTGCTTCTGTCAATTGTACTCAGGTTCCATTTTTCTTCTTAAATTATTTTTCAAA